CAAAGAACATCTTTAAAGTCTGCGACTCGATTCCGTCAGTCGTAACTGTTCAAGTGTGAAACGTGTGAACAGTAAATTCAGTTATTCAACTCATTCAAACGAAATAAATCAGACCTTTTGTAACTTTCAAACATAACATCTGCCCAACTAGTGTTTATGCTCAAGAGCTGCTGCCATGTTTGTTTTAACTTACTGTGGTGTTTTTGGTTTGTTTACTCGATCATGTCTGATTTCAGCTCAAACATGATTCCTACATCCATCCATCCATCCATCCATTTTCTGCTGCTTATCCGGGATCGGGTCGTGGGGGCAGCAGCCTAAGCAGAGAGACCCAGACTTCCCTCTCCCCAGCCACTTAGGCCAGCTCGTCCTGGGGAATCCCAAGGCGTTCCCAGGCCAACCGAGAAACATAGTCCCTCCAGCGTGTCCTGGGTCTTCCTCTGGGCCTCCTTCCAGTGGAACATGCCCTGAACACCTCAACAGAGAGGCGTCCAGGAGGCATCCTAACCAGATGCCCGAGCCACCTCAACTGGCTCCTCTCGACGTGGAGGAGCAGCAGCTCTACTCTGAGTCCCTCCCGAATGACCGAGCTTCTCACCCTATCTCTAAGGGAGAGCCCAGACACCTTGCGGAGGAAACTCATTTTGGCCGCTTGTATCCACGATCTCATTCTTTCAGTCACTACCCAAAGTTCATGACCATAAATGAGGGTAGGAACGTAGACCAACCAGTAAACCGAGAGCTTCACCTTCTGGCTCAGCTCCCACTTCAACTATGACAGACCAGTACAGCGCTTGCAACACTGCAGACGCAGCACCAATCCGCCTGTCAATCTCCCACTCCATTCTTCCCTCATTCGTGAACAAGACCCCGAGATACTTTAACTCCTCCACTTGGGGCAGGACCTCCTCCCCGACCCGGAGACGGCACGCTACCAGTTTCCGGCTCAAGACCATGGTCTCGGATTTGGAGGCACTGATCCTCATCCCGGCCTCTTCACACTCTGCTGCGAACTGCTCCAGCGAGAGCTGCAGATCATGATCTGATGAAGCCATTAGGACCACATCATCTGCAAAAAGCAGAGATGTGATCCTAATGTCACCAAAAAGGATCCCCTCAACACCTTGGCTGCACCTAGAAATGCTGTCCATAAAAGTTATGAACAGAATCAGTGACAAAGGGCAGCCTTGGCGGAGTCCAACCATTACTGGAAACGAGTCCGACTTACTACCGGCAATGCGGACCAAGCTTTGGCACCGGTCATACAGGGACCTAACAGCCCGTATCAATGGGCCTGGTACCCCATACTCCCGGAGTACCCCACACAGGAGCCCCCGAGGGACACGGTCAAACACCTTCTCCAAGTTCACAAAACACATGTAGACAGGTTGGGCGAACTCCCGTGAACCCTCCAGGACCTTGCTGAGGGTGTAGAGCTGGTCCGCTGTTCCACGACCAGGACCAAAACCACACTGCTCTCCCTGAATCTGAGATTCAACTATCCAATGGACCCTCCTCTCCAGAACCCCCRAATAAACCTTACCAGGAAGGCTCAGAAGTGTGATCCCCCTGTTGTTGGAACACACTCTACCTTTTTAAATAGGGAGACCACCACCCCGGTCTGCCAATCCAGGGGAACTGCCCCCAATGTCCACGCAATATTGTAGAGTCATGTCAACCAATGCAACCTCACAACATCCAGAGCCCTGAGGAACTCCAGGCAAATCTCATCCACCCCTGGCGCCCTGCCACCGAGGAGCTTTTTAACAACTTCGGTGACCTCAGCAGCAGAGATTGGACAATCCGACCCAGGGTCCCCAGGCTCTGCTTCCTCATGGGAAGACGTGTCGGTACGATTGAGGAGGTTCTCGAAGTATTCCGCCCACCGACACACAACGTCCCGAGTTGAGGTCAGCAGCACACCATCCCCACCATAAATAATGTTGGTGGCGAACCAATGTTGGTGGGAACCTCTCAACCTCACACAGCAGCTCAGGCTCCTTCCCCACCAGAGAGGTGACATTCCACATCCCTAGAGCCAGCTTCTGTAACCGAGGATCAGACCGCCAAGGTCCCCGCCCTCGACCACTGCCCAACACACAATGCACCCAACCCCTACGGCCCCTCCCACAGGTGGTGAGCCCATGGGAAGGGGGACCCACGTCTCCCCTTCGGGCTGTGCCTGACCAGGCTCCATGAGGCCGGCCACTAGGCGCTCGCCAACGTACCCCACCTCCAGGCCTGGCTCCAGAGTGGGGCCCCGGTGACCCACATCCGGGTGAGGGAACATTGAATTAATTTATTGTGTCCATCATAGGGGTCTTTGGGCTGCACTTTCCCTGATCCCTCTGATGATTCCTACATGTTTAACTTAAAACCTGAACATTTGCTTTACCTTCTAAAAAAAAGTCATCTGTTTTTTTTAAACAAGCAAACTGGTGCTCAGGAGGTGACCGTGCAGAAACCTTAAAATGTTAGTGATTCAGTTCTTGGTTCATCTTCTCATCTTTGCACCAGAGTTTAACTCATCTCAGGCTGAAGTGCCGTAAATTAAAACTTTATCCATAAATTCACAAACACCAGAAAAACTCAGAAACACCAAACAGCTGAAGAACTTTTTATTAGAATAAAATCATCCTTTATTTACATTTCAAGTGAGATACAGTTGCATGACGACCCTCTGCTGTGTCCACACGTCTACCAGTCCTCTACAGTACACAGGTTTCTAAAAACCAACCAAAAAAAAGCTTGAAACAAAAATAAAATACATCCAGCATTTTGCTTTCTAAGCCATGATAAATGGGATTTTTGATTTCAATTTTCTTGACGAGGTGCCGTGGATCAACGAGCAGGTAGTGTTGATAAAAAAGCCGGGCTTTGCCTTCAATGTAACAACTTATTAGTAACAAACATCACTTTATGGAAATGCCTTCTCAACACAGAGACACACAAAGACCAAACGACAAGCAGCGCCAAGAAACAAGGAACAGATTGAAAACCCGTTTGAACCATGACTGATGAAGTGACGTGAGGCGCAGCTCGCAGAAAGACTTATGTTTGTGCAAAAAGCATTATTGCAGTCCTGTGGTGTGCGACCACAGTGGGGGGGGGGGGGGGGTGCGAACACAGAGAGAGTCGACTGAAAGTCTGCTGCAAAACAGAAAGCACCAAACTGTTTACCAGCAGCCGTCAGATGACGAATTTCAGACTTCTGTGGTTCAGAGTGTGGTCTGAACCAAGAGAGACATTGTACACAAATAAAAACTTTAAAACACACAGAGACGTTATCAGCAGCAAAAACACGGCAGAGGAAGCAGCTTCACAGGAAACAATCCTCAGACCTCAACAGCCATTAAGACTTTTACAGTTTTATCTCATTTAATGAACCTCACTGTAAAAAAACTAAAAAAAACATGATTTAAAAAAATATGGGAGCAAGTTGCTTAAGTGAGTCTATGAGCTGTAACTATTTCTTCAACATTTAGGTTCATGAAAGCGATGCTGGCAATGTTACTCAAGCCCCGCCCACTCCTGGTCAGGATGAGGGGGTGACACGTTCACCACAGTGTGAATGCACCTTCAGGGCCACAGAAACGTGACTAAGATCGCAGCCGACACCAGAAATCCAGGAGGCCCCAGGCATCCAGGAAAATCCTCCAGGCCAAGAACTTAAAAATATATATCTTCCATCCAGCTGCAGATGCAACAGGTTTGTGTCAGCTCTGAGTCCTGCGAGGAGTCAAAGGTTTAGAAGCTGAAAGGAGCAAACCTTAGCCGACGCTCAAACAGGATCACAGTGTGTGTGTGAGAGAAATTAAGAAGTTTCTGCGAGTTCGAAACAAAATCAAAAACTTTTTTCTGCACTTACTAAAAAAACAAAACTGGCAACTGTTTGTGGAAAATGGAAAACTTGGGCTATTTTGAAGTTACTGTGTGTAAACATTAAACAGTGTTTTACCTGCTATAGATAGCTTCTTTAATGAGCTTTTACAGAAATACAAATTAATTCTGACATGACCGACAAGCTAACAGCTAATCCAAAYGTAGCTAAGACCAGAGTGGATCGATGTGGTCTTAAAATAATTATTAGCATAATTTTATAAATCTTCACACTTGCTAGTTTTATGTTACGTAGTTATTTATGTAGGACTTAAAGTACCTGTGACATCAATTTTTGTGATAAATGTGATTGCACTTTTGGAAACATGGATAACTTATTGCAAAAGCAATTTCACACCACTGAGAAGAACAGTTGAGATTTTTACATGTGAAGTAACAGGAAGTGATGTCAAAGGGGAATGTCTACATGTGAACAGAGCTTTGCTACAACAGCTAACAACACAGACAGAAGGGAATTTGAATTATCTGATGTTTCTTTAGATCATTTTAGTCCCTATAAGACAGAGATGAAGAAAAGTCAGGGTTCAAATAATGATGTTTTAATAAACAAAGACCAGAGTTTATTTTATTAAAAGGTTCTCCTTTGATGTCACTTCCTGTTTCACTTTGGCTGAGCCAAATTCAAAGGAAAATGTGCCAGTTATGGGACAAAATGGGTTACACCATGTGTTTTATGCCAAATTTCCTAAATATGAAGATATTTTGACTTTTTAAATTTGAAGGACAGGCATGTCGCAGACACTTTAATGGTCATTTACATGTACCATTAGCATTAGCAACATGTTGCAGTTTTTACCTAAAATGTCACGTGGTATAAAGAGTTCATTAGTGTTCGCATGAACTGATGTTAAATTTTTTTATACAACAGTGGATCCATTCAAACTGACCTGACGAGCTAACAGCTAATCCAAGTGAAACCACTTTTAAAGTAGATTGTTCCGTCTTAAAATAGCTTAATTTTTCTACAATTTAAAGCAATTCATGCCAATGCTAACATTTAACTTTTATTAGTTTTGCTTTAGATTATAAATATTAAGAAGTTCCAGAAGATGTGACCTCTGGATGTCCTGAAAGTTGACATATTTTTGTGACTTATGCTCTAAATAACCACAAAATTGTATTTAAAAAACCAAAGTGAAACAAACAGTGTTATAAAACATTCTCATTTTTGTTTCAAGACAAAAGAAATCCAGTGGTTGTAGCCTCATAGCCTCACTAGCCATTAGCTCCTCAGTTTGGTTAGAACTCAACTGTTTCCCCAAACTGAGATCACCCAAGAAGCTATCTGCACCAGGTAAGATACTGTTTATACGACCAAACTATTCCTTTAAACCGTACATTTATAAATGCATTAAAGCTGAGTCGGTTTTAGTTTTTAAGTCCAGAAGTTGTTTTTACAGAGATGCTGAAAATATGCTGATTTCAACACAAACAGAAACAATCCTGTTGTGTTAAGATTGGACCTCGTTTACCTTCTGGTGAAATCACACGACAGCAAAGTTTGAATCTTCTGCAGCACGTCTGCAGAAACTCAACATTTAGTTTCTTTTTAGGATAAATAATAAATAATTACAAACAAAGACATCAAGACAGAACAGCTGAAATGTTCCTCAAACATATAAAGCTCATGAGAAATCAACGTGTTTCCTGCTTCATGTAAAACTATAAAACCAAAGCTCTGTTTTCTAACAGGTTTATAGGACGATTAAAAAACTAACAATAGAGGTTTTGTTCCTTCGTTTTGAACCTGAAGGTTGGAGCGTGTCAGTTAAATAACCAGAGCAAAGAAAAGAGGAAGAAAGGTGCTCAGATGTGGGACAGCAGAGGATTTGAGTGGACTCTGGTCTCTGTGGGTTCCTTCATGTGTGGAGATGTTTGCAGCATGGTTCTGACAGGAAGTGGGAGGAGTGCTGCTTTACATTCTTCACTTGTCCCAGCTACAGTCTGCACGTCTCTGCTGGGCTTCTCAGCGGGGGGTGTAAATAAGGCCTCAAATTGTTTTTTTTTCCCTCCCTGACTCGTCAGGGACAGAGCGTCCTCTGGGATGCTGGTTTGGGTCAGAGCAGCAACACGGCTCTTTGAAGAGCAGCAGCTACAGGAAGATTTGTCCCTCAAGCTTGGCGGGACAGGATCTGTCTCGTTCAGGTCCACTTGGCCTGGTGAGAGTCCAGGTTCTCCTGAAAGCTGGAGGGGGTCTGAGTGGACTAGTGTGGTGTTCCCCCTCTGATCTCAGCTCAGTGCTTCAGCACCAGACTGTCTCGCTGCCGACTTCTTCTGCTCCGTCAGCGTCTGCAGGACCTGAGGGGACGGAGGTTTACAAATGAAAACACCCAGGAGTTAAACATTAACAAAGAATTAAAGAGGTGAAGCGGGAAGGCCCACCTGAGCCCACTTCCTGTTGCGGCTGCTCATGTGGACGGCAGCGATGTGCTGGAAGAGCTGCTCGGCGGTGATGAGGTCAGGCAGCCGGGTCAGCAGCTGGGCCATGTGGATAAAATCCATGGACGTCAGGACGTCCTGGTAGAGACGCAGCAGGCCCAGTGCTGTGCGGAACAGGAACTCCTCCCCGTCCCTGCAGAACACGTCCCACACCCGACACGCCAGATCCAGAGGCAGGGACTTACTGTAGAGCGTGAAGATCCTGAAACACAACCGGAGGAAGAGATGATGGGTTTGCAGATGACATTTGACGCTGATGTGTGAAAATACTTTTTTTTCTACACTCCTGAGATGAATCTGTCCTCAGCTTTGTGTGCAGTGTGTTCAGGGTGGCACACACCCAAACACCAACAGCCCTGTGACTACCTGCCAGCCCTGTGGTGATATTTACAGGTTTAATATGTACCGACGGTCAAATTATTTAAAACTACCATTCTTTATGTCAAGTAGGCTTGGGTGGTATGACGGTATTGTGGTATAYATCGGTACTGAAATATGAYGATGGTATTTAAAAATGATGACAGTATATGAACTCTCTGGAGCCTGGTCACATGACCTATTTATATTCAAATCAGAAAGATACACCTTCTCTGAAACTCTGTTTCAATGTGTCAAAAGTAGAAACTTCAAACTTTACACCAGTTTTTTAATTGTGTTGATATAAAAAAAATCTACAGGAAGAAGAAAATAAGACACGTAGTCTGAATGAAGTTCTGTGTCGAGACACGCTACAGATCAAACAACCCTAAGCCCCGCCCCTTTCCCCAGTCCTAAACTGTGGTATTATTAATGATACGTCAGTATGAAAAAGATCAATACAGCCCCACCCCATTGTTAAAACTAGTTTAATTCATTTATTTTTTAAAGAAATTTCTGTTTAATCAAAACTTCAAAGCAGCGACTCAGCAGTTTCCATGACAAAATGTTAAAATGATTTGATTTATTGTAAAATTATGTGATTTATTTCTAAATGACAGCATTTCTGCTGTTTCAGCAGTTCTGTTCAGCAGCAGCAGTTTTCTCCGTCACCAACGTTTCTTGAAGCCAGGTTTCAGACTGGAGGTTTTTGGAAACGCTGGAWTCGGTGTGAAATTGTGCGTGTGTGCTACAGACGGCTGCAGTCAACAGTTTTTCTGCGCGATTAGACGAACAACAGTAACAACGGTGGTTAGCAGAGCACACAAACAAAGCTTTGTGTTTTTCAACATCTGATAAAACAGTTTTCATGCTCAAGACTGAACTGTCTTTTGTTGTTGCTGTCTTTGCATGTGTTTTTATTTTTAAATATAAAAATCATAGCAACACCTAGTGACCTGGCATAGAAGTTTAACAAATTATATTTGTCCACAAATTTAAAAAAACACTAACGTTTCCAGAGATTTTTCAYATGTTGATTTTCATTGGTTTATTATAAGTATTTGTTTTCTTTGTATCACTTTAGTTAATTTTGAGTTATATTATTAATTTTATACTTGACTGTGGAGCACTGACAGATGCACATTTAAGACCTGAATAAGCCTGTGGCAGCTCAGTGAGGGTAACTGAGAGAAACTTCCCTGTGAAACACACAAACCACTGACACACACCTCCATCTGCACATTTAGCCCTTCCTGTTTTCTCAGAACTGAGATAACACTATATATATATATATATGTGACAATAATAAAACAAAGAATCAAAACTAAACAGATCGACAGCGTATCATCCACAGCTTCAGACATCCTGACCTGAGGGCCACTAAAGGTCAGGAGCAGAGAGGTCACGGTTTTTACAGTTAGATTTATTAATGCGTCTGACACAGAAAGCTACAGCTGCATCAAAAATACAATGTAAGAAACGTGATGAACTCACCAGTCGATTAAATAAATATCAGGGGTCAAGTTGTTTTTCTTGAAATGTGCAAAGAGCTTTGGTAAATTTTCTTCAAAGAACACTTCAAACGCTTCAAAGTACGTCAACATCTGGAAGAAGAGACGGACGTTAGAAACAAACACAAAGCACATTGTTGTTGTTTGTTTATCAAAGTTACTGCTTCATGAGAGCAMACAGAACGCTGCAGACGATTCAGACACTTGAAGACAGCTCAGACACATCATGGTTTTAACTCCTTTCTCTGATAAAATAGTCATTTTAGTAAATCCTCTCATTAGGTTCAAATATTTAACTTCATTAAATTTATTAATTAATCATCAATAAAG